TAAATCCGACCTGCCTTCAATCCCTCCCCGCTCTCTCTCTCTCTCTCTGGAGCTACAATTCATTTACGAACTATCTGCGGCGGTATGTTGCAGAGCTCCACTGGTGGCATCAACGCGGTCGCAGCGTTGGTAAGAAGCTTGGAGATTTCAGAAGTTTTTCATGTTGCCGCTGTGTGTGTAATTGCAATAGAAAAGTTTTGGGTTATTTTTAAACTTAATGCTGTACGCTCGTTGCTGGTGAATTTCAATGACTTCTTTGAATGGCCTTACTGGTGGTGGTAGTCTCTGTGTGTAGATATCTACTTCCATCATCTATTCTATGTAGTATTTGCACTGCATTTACTTGAGTGCCTCATTTAGTTTGAGTTCTTCCATTCTATATGCTTACAATCCGGTACTCGTACTTTCTGGGCTATTTTTGTTATTTCTACAATTTCTGCAATTTCGTGCGCTCAAGCTGATACCAATAATCAGGCTCAGCGGAAATTTTCATGCCCTAAATTCGTTAATTAGCTGTGTAAAAAAGGAGATAAAGTCATGGCTGACGAAGTGTGAAACTATTTAAATTTTTAATCAGCTCATTTACGTGCGTCGATTTATACGTAAATATGTATGTATGTACATTCATGCATACAAATGTGTGTCGTGGAAATTTTTAGGTTCAATTTATTACTATTTTTTTTTGAGAAGTAAGCGGGTGTCCTAGGGCAGCCGCTGTGGTATAGTAGTTAGCAGTGCGCGCTACCATTCCGCCGGGTCGGGGTTCAAGAAACACAAAATATTTTTTTCTAATAGCGGTCGCCTCTCGGCAGGCAATGGCAAACCTCCGAGTGTATTTCTGCCATGAAAAACAGCTTCTCATAAAAATAAGGAGAAGCTCGGCCAAACACTAACATATTATGTGTAAGCGCCAATCGATTTTATTAAGTGGGTGTACTTTGTTAACTTTGTCGACAATTAAAGTAATTAATGTCACACTTCCGAGTTCCATTTGTTGGAAATTTTAAAATAATTTTTAAGAATTTTATTTTAATTGCGATCTATTACATACATACATATGCTATCCATTCCTAAAATCAATTCCACTATCGATTTATGGCACTGAAGCCCGGGCGTGAGAATTGGCGTATTGTGCCTGGCCGGAAATACTACACAAGTACATCTTACTAATATCATAAATTTGAAAGTTTGTGAGTGAGTGAGTGCAAATGTCAAACGAAAGGGGTTACAACACGATTTATTAAAAAAAAAATTTTTTAAGGGGGTTGCCACCTTTTAAAAAAGTTTAAATCGATGAATTAATAAGTTAAGTAAGGTATCACAACAGTGTGGGCGTCAGACGGCGTTAAAAACGATTTGCATTAAAAAATATTTTTAAGAGGGTTGCCACCTGTTTAAAAAGTCAAAATCAAATTAATTTACAATATTTTAGTGCGGCTATCAAACGAGAGAGCTTTAAGAAAGCTTTGCTTCAAAAATATGTATGTAGTATTTGTAAAATGAGCTGCCACCTGTTTAGAAATTCAAAATCGATTTGATTAACTAGTTTTTGATACTAACACTTTAAAGTTTTGGATGAAGATGTAATTTAATATATCCTACTAAAAAATATGAAAAACGCATTTTGAAAAGAAGTGTTAGTGCCTTTGTGAATTAAGCTAAATATGTAGTGTACGACCAAGAAAAGGGTCAGTTAACACAAAATCAGCTGTTAGCTCATACGTAGATTAACTCTCCACAGTGAAAACGCCATTAAATAAACCAGGCATCAGACATGAAAATTTTATTTGGGATAAGACCGATTTCTAGTCGATTTTTAATTTCGAATATGAATTCAGAATTACTTTGTGAAATCAGGTTTTTTAAATGTCATAACCTAAAAATGAGAAAAATGCGGTTTTGACCCATTTCCTTAGAAAACTATAGAAAGCATTTAAAAGTTATACCTTGCCCCTCTCAAGCCGATACATTTCTTGAATAACTTATTTTTCAAGGGCGAAATTTTATTTTTAAAATTTCAAATTAATGCCTTTCTTAAAAAGGATAGGCAAAGGGACAATAGTTAAATTGCCTCAACACCAATTTCGCGGTAAAAAAAAAGTTTTCGAGCTAGCCTAACGGCATGTGATAGAGCAAAATATATGCATACTTTAGAGCGCGAAAGCCGAATTTTACGCATTTTTAGGTTAGGATTTTGATTGGATTCTGAGTTCAGATACGTATTCAGCCACCCAAAAATTACCCCCACTAAATCTCAGATAAAATCAAGAGTTGAGAATTTGTCCAGTAATGTTATTGTTTAGTACACTGCCTATTGCCGCCCACTCAGTCTGGATGGGAATCACTTGTGACGACGAATGCAGGAAATGCATGAAGCTAGGGTGAAGGAAATGTTTTAACATCTTCTTGCCTATGTCTGGCGCTATCAAGAACAAAACTGAAATAAATATGGGCTACTCACTTTGAAAAACTAGAAGATGTCTCCAATGTTGAACCCAAGCGATACCAAACTTGTGTAGAGGGCCCATTTTGAAGCGGCATGCAAATCCTGGGGATGCAACCCAAGGATTCCAAAATGGATGTACACCATGATAGCGAGACCAATAATAACCTGTGGGGTTGTGGCTTGGATATCCAGAACTACTCTACCAACGTCTCGCGAAAGAGGGCTTTGGTAAAGGTAAGGTCTTATCATCTAGGAACAAAAACAAGCAGTTTTGTTCTATAGAGACGATATGCATAGAGTAGTATTTTCGAAAGAAGTTCTAAGCTTGATACGAGTATATACAGCTAGACGACCTGGAGTACCACTTCATGGAGAGACACATCAAGGCGAGCACACTACAGCGGTTAACAAACAACGCAAAGAACCCGAAGGGTATTGGAGCAGGCGTATACGGACCTAGATCGAAACTTTGGGAGCCCTTGGGAACGTTTACAATCATCCTTCAAGCGGAAGTCTATGCCATTAGTATGTGTTCAGAGATTAACCTTCGTTGGAACTATTGAAATGGAGAGAACCTTATTATAAATGATAGTCAGGCGGCACTTATAGCTCTCTCATCCTTCGAGGTCAAATCCTCATTGGTCCTGGTGTGCAGAGAGAAGCTTAGGCTTCTCTGAGCTAGCTGAGAACAATGCTGTCCAACTGATTTGTGGTGCACTTGGGAGACGAAGGAAATGAGGAATCCGATCGATAAGGAAGTGCTCAGAAAATGAAATACCAAACTGAGCGAACCCATAAACCTTCCCAAAGAGAGACTATAGAATTATTAAATGTCATTGTAGGCTAAGGGTCAAGCGATCTATGTCACTTTTATGGCTCCACCAAAGAAACATCATTGCGCCTCCTCCAGGAGGGTGAGGCCCTTTCACGGAAATTGGAGAGAAATTTAAGAACTCTCTTAAAAGACAAACAGACACATTTATGAAAGCAATTAACTTTCTTCAGTTGTAGCATACATTTAGGCAAAATATTAAATTAAAGAATGAAATTTGGCGCCAAATATTAACAAAAAATCCGCTTTTAATTTCTGCCATAACGGTATTACGACCAAAGTACTTAAGGGAACACTGACAGATGATATTTCGTTGAATTTTTTCTATCTGCCGCGTTTCTATAATGAATTTAATGCTCTGAAAGGTACATAAATTCCATTTTAATAATTACAACACGTAAATCGCATTGGATTTCGTGTGGGCGTTTAAAGGAAACTTTGACTTACATAAAAAAAAAAAATCGCATCTCTTGTTGGATTTTCTTGGCATTTTTCCACGCAATTTTTTGATAAACCGCCTACACAATTCAACTGTAAGCTGTTGGCTGTTTTTGATATCTGTCTAACTGAAATATTTACCATCAAATGAATTTGTGTGTAGGCGGTTTGTGGCATACAAAAGCAACATTAAATTTCTGCACGCGCTTAAACTCCAAGATAAAAGTTGCGATTCATTTTCTTATGTGAAATTTCTATATTTTTTTTTTTTTTTGGTTTCGAAAATTCTCTAGCATCTACAAAATATGCAAAATTTATATTTGTATGCAAAGGTAAAACAAGCCAGAGAAAACTTTTCCATTACGAATATCGAAGTTTTATAATGGATTTTTCTCAGAAAATTTCAGTTGAGCTTATCAAACGCAGAACGAAAACCACTCAATAGACGTAAACGCGCATATGTATATATATGTAATTATGAATTGAAATTTCTGGCCGCGATATTAGGTTAGGATGGGTTAAAAAATCCGAATATCTAAATATCCGAATAGAATGTTGATATTCGGATATCCGAATAGTGTATAGTTTCCCGGGTTCTCGAATCTAAAAATTAAGCATAAAATCTCAATTGTTTGTGTATTATGAAGTGTACTGTTATTTATTTTGCAATTAATAGATTCTGTAATTTTGAGGAACATTTTACGAACCCGTTCAAATACTTTTTAGAATACCTAGATAGCCAAATAATCGGATACTAACCGGATAACCAAATGAACGGATATTAACCGTCGATCGACTGTCGATCCTTTTGAGAATCGAGTTCTGAGTACTTTTGGGATCGATACTACCCAACACTAATAAATACTAAACTTTTCCAACTTAACGCCTTCTCTCTGGTTGGGTAATCCTTCGTATCCTTGATGTCGACGTCGTCCACGTAGAAATATTGCGCTTTTCCTTGAAATGGAAATGTTCGCAATGTAAATTATAAATGTAGAAACAACTGGACAGAATAAAAGTGGAATCGTATTGCATACACAGTGGGAAAGACAGCAAGCAATGAGTGGCATGAAATAAGCTAAATACACCCCGATACAAAACAACAAAAGCGCTTACAAAGGCGAAAAAATGCAAATTTTATTATTAAAAAAAAATTGAGCTCACCCCTCTTCAGAAACCTAGTTATTTACTATGCCGTTATAAGCATTTCACTTCCTTATTCTTATTGTATTTCAACCGTTATACGACGATTACTTAACTTTAACGCCTCTTGTTCACTTGCAGGGCTTCGTCGCAAACCGATTCGCCAATTTCTGCAACAACCTTTTGATGTATCATCCGATTATTTGTCCCAACTAATGGAGGAGAATGCGCGGCGACGTTTACAACAAACATTCGAACAACAATTGGAACGCATCAATATGCAAATGAATCGCCAGCGACAGCGCGAAGAGCAACGTGAACGTTTGAGTCAACGTCTGCAGCTGTTGGCCGCTGAGAATGCGGAAGCGAACGAGGAGGAGAGAGAGGGCGAGATCGATGTGGAATCGACCGAAATGGATGAGGACGTTTACGATGCCAATCGCAATCAATATAACAGCTACAAAAATTTCGAGAACAACAACGACATCAACACTGGCAATCAATACGTGGACACGAATGGTCTCTTTAGCTACAAATACCCACCGCCCAATATGGTGAGCTTAAATGGCGACGCCGTGGGTGAGCGCATACCCTTCGCAGTCGGGCCGGCCGATCCACGTTTTTACGAGCGCGACAGCGACGAAGCGGAGGGGGAAAACAATAGCGATGAATTGGATTCGCGCGCCTTGGACGACTACCAGGAATTTGTACCAGCCGAATCGCAGAATGTTGGCGCTAAAGTTGCGCCAGGCGCCGCAGTGGCTGCTGTTGAGCCTGATACCGCAAGCGAAACCGCCGCAACGTCACACGTCGCAACGTCACCTGACGCCGCCGCCGCCGCCGCCATTCCCGCTGATGCCAAGTCACCTGTGCTCGCGCCAGCACCTGTTGAAACAACCAAATTAGTCGACGGCAATACGGCCACTTTCCATCGCATCAAACCGCAGAGCGTTGCTGCGGCAGCGGCGGTCGCAGGCGCAAATGTCGCAGCGGCAATGAAGCCCAATGCACACGAGTCGGCGAGCGACGACAGTAATCCACGACACGCGCTCATCGACAAGCTGCAGAAGGAAGGCAAGTCGGTGGTGGCCATGCACAATAGTCGCGAGGCGGCATTGGGCGGCGGTAGTGATGCCAATGGTGGTATGGTGGTGCGTCAACATTTGGGCGTGGACGGTGAGATGGGCATGTATCTGGTGGCATTGATTGCAGGCGTGAGCGCCGCTGTGACAGTGGGTCTGATAGCGCTCGGCATCGCTTGGTACACGTAAGTCTATTCTCCTACTACATATTTACGCACATACGCAAGTAGCGCGCTAATGCATGACGCGTGGCATTACTGTTGTTTACTTAACGTGGCATTTTTTTTTTTTTTGTCAAACTCTTGCAGATTACACCGCAAATCAAAGGCTGCAGCGGATGTTGAATATCCGGCATATGGCGTGACCGGACCGAATAAGGACATCTCGCCCTCGGGCGATCGCAAATTGGCTCAAAGCGCACAAATGTACCATTATCAGCATCAGAAACAGCAGATAATTGCGATGGAGAATCGTCAGGCGGCGGAGGGCAGCTGCGGCATGTCGGATGTGGAAAGCGATGATGAGGAGAACGAGGAGGGTGATTACACTGTGTATGAGTGTCCTGGTCTTGCACCGGTAAGTCTGTCTTGCAAATCATATTTGCACATAGAATTATATTAAGTGTGTCGAACGAGTGGTTGAGCAGGCGGAGAATAATAAATTTATTTTCCATTTTTTTCTTCGTTTTTTTTTTTGTTTTTGCTTCTTCATCGATTTCCAACACTCCAACGCGTACATAGCCAATGGGCGAAATGGAGGTAAAGAATCCATTGTTCTTGGATGAAACGCCAGTTACGCCATCGAGCAGCATGACCGCCACTACAACAGCCACCACTTCAACTCCAACCATTAGCAACAACATAACACATGCCACACCACAACAACCACCCACACAACAACTCGGCAAGAAGCCAACCACTTATAAAGTTGTTGTTGGCGCTGCACCCAATCCCAAAGCTACCTCAGCAGAGTCTACGTCTTCCGAGGAGAATAGCAAGAGAAAGAAGAATAAGAAGTAAGCGCAGAGGACGCAGCGCAAGAAGGAGGATGAAATGGAAGAGGTGGAGGAGGTGTAGGTGGAGGTGAAGCAGCAGCAGTAGCAGCAGCCTTTTGTGATGTCAAATTGAAAAGTGTAATGAGAAAGTGAGTGGATATGACTAAGAAATGGGGTCGGGATAATTAATTTAAATGAATTTGCTGGTTTATACACACTTACAAAGCGTAAAAATTGAAACCACTGACACCAGGCCAATTATCACAATTAACAATAAAGAAAAAACAGGTTATTAGAAAATACATAGTACTTGTGATGCATAAGTATTTGAGAGCATACTGAGTGTTGGACTTTATAAATATTTAACTACATAATACCAAAAAAATCCATCACTGTAATGTAAATAATAGCATATTTTCACATCGATGCGTATGGATGGACTTAAAAACGTTTGTGTTTAGTGTTAATAAAAGGCGTTGGAATTATTAAAAATAAGTTTTGCGAAATTTCAAAATTTACAATTTTTAGAAATTTCATTTTAAATCGACTTCAAAGAAGGAGGAGGTTATCAATTCGTCGGAATATTTTTTATTTTATTTTTTTTTTTTGTTATGTAAGTTACCACACAACTTTGGCCTACGTTAACCGATTGCTAAAATTCTTTTTTTGAAGGAAAGATGAAACCTCAGAGGTGGCCCCATATTAATTTGGTTTAGATCCGATCAATGGATCATGAAGAAATTAAGCGCGTTTTTAAATCTTTTATATGAGAATTGAAGTCGGTTTTGTTTTTTGCTTAAAAATTACTTGTTGGTTTATGTTTTTATCAAAAAAAATTAAGTACCTTAAAATTGTATGCTTTAAGATAAAATTTCTAAATTTAAAATTGTATGTAATACATCTAATTTTTTTGGTAACTTGTAATTTTATCAAAACAAAATTTAAATTACAAAAAAATTTATACTTTAAGCAACGGTTATACTTACATACATACATACATATAATACAATATAAAAAAAAATAGCCACTAATTTTGATTTATAACCTAATCATCTACTAAAAAATACCACATGGACACGAGCTTAGTGACTATTTCTGGCAGCGCTACGACATGGTTATTTTTTAATGGCGCACTTACTCATTAAAATGTTTGTCATTCTAATACACAGTGAAAATACGGCATAATTGAACGAAATTCCTGTGTAGTACACAAAGCTTTCGAAGAAAACATATTATTGTGTGTTTCCACGTCACACAAATTGTGTACGCGATACGATTATCAATTTGGTCTCGGAAAAACCTGCTCGTGATACTGTGTACAAGTCTCAATTTGAGATAAGCAGGTCAAACTTTGACTCAGTTTTGTGAATGTGACTAAAACTTTGCCTCATTGAGAAAGAATTTTAAGCAAGAAAGATTAAATAGAACAAAATAAACGGTTCAAAAGAATCAATAAACTATTAAAAAAAAATTAATTTAAAATAAGATGAAGTTGTTTCTAGAGAAATAGTTTCTCAGTTTTTATTTTAAAAGAACAGCAGAAGCTCAAGCGAAATCATATGCCGTAGCTTGATAGAAATTGATTTTTATTTGAGATCAGTCGCATAAGCATTTCCAATTTCAAATTGAAGTCGATTATCGAAATTGTGCAATTTCGGGCATAGTGAAACCGCTATGTAATATCGCTTTAACAATATTCTAAAAACGATTTTAATAACACTAAATAAAAGTCCACCAACGCAAACAAAAAATTACCATAATAGCATCATTTAAAAAAAGCGATGAGGAAATGTGCAGCTATGGTGTATTTAAGTCAGACTCAAACATTTTGTCAAGTTTAAAAAACTTTCAAAATTGCGATGAGAATATGAAAAAAAAAAACAACTAAGTATTGTGTACGTAAATTGCGCGAGGAATCAAATTCCTTTGCCAAAGAAACAAAACAAAACAATCCTTAACATTAAACTAAAGAAGGAATAAGTAAATAATTTAATTGAAAATATATCCACTAAAAATCAATTGGACTTTATAAAATAAGTTTGTTTGTCAAATTCTTCCCTATTTATACTATACCTATAGATTAGCTATAATTTTTTTCTAACAAATACATATGAACTTTACTCAATTACTAGTAAAAACGCATAGCGCTACACTGGCAGCATTGACAACTGCTTGACAGCTGTCAGCGAGCAAATGTCAATACTTGTCAAAACAACGCGGGAAGAACTATCACTTATGTAGTAAAATACAACAACAAAAAATATGCCGTATTAAGCGCATTTATGTGGGCATTACAATTTTAAAGAGAATTTGAAGCCCATCTAGTGAGTCGAAAGCGAGTAGACGCTTGTTTTCACTTTGTCATATTGTGACAAATAAAATTTGTTGTTGATTAATACTTTATCATATCGTTAGTAAATACAAGAATCCAAAAACATATAAACAATTTATTTGGCAAGACTAGCAAACGACTGAAGTTATATTTTAGTGAAAATGATTTAACATACCGTTTTTTACCACATTTTCGAAAATTACATTCAATTATCTGGCATTAAATTTGACAATTTGACATAGTGAAAACTAGTCTTAAGAAATATGTAAGCGGAAAATACCACTTAATTTTTTGTGTGCGAAAAACATTGTGAATATTCTCAAAAGTACGTAACTTTCATTACTTTTTAGCATTAAAGTATACACAAATAGTCATGCATAAACATATTTACTTACATATTGCATACAAATGTACTTACACGCAAGCATTTACACTCATACATATTAACACTTTATTTATACATACTTACATACATACATATGTGTGTACATAGATAAGCATGAAGAAAAAAACCTTTTTCTAGAATCTACAGCAACATACACTAATTTATTTATATACATACATACATACAAACAAAAATACTTTTTCTAATAAATCACACTTACACCTATAAAGTACATAAATATTAACTTCATCCGAGCCTAAACTAAATATAATCAATTGATTCACAATCTCAGATGCTTTATTTGTAAAAAATGCTTAAATGTAAAACTAATACCATATACATAGTGCTCATATATATACGTATATACATATGTATGTACATGCATACTTGTTCATACATCTACTGTTCGTTAGGTTTAATAACAAAAAAAAAAAAATTCCAAACAACACTGAGTGCCGCGCATTATATGCATGCTTTGCCAAGTGTATGGGGTACTTTAGAATTTAATAGTTTTATTTTGTAACAAAGAATGCCTTTGAAGAGGCACATCTTCGAAATATGTCCATCTGTATTATGTATGTAGAACCATCAGGCTACCATGCTGATAGTACTACTTAGTATCCCACATTGAGAAAAAAAACTCCAACCAAAACGCTCGTGGAGTTAAGACTACAGTACCTCTGCGCTGGGTACCGGGGCATGATGCAATGACTAGACGGATCGCCCAGCAAAGTACGGAGCTACTTACTAGAGTATTCCATGGTCCGGAACCGTTTTGTCTGCCAAACAAAGCATATACTAGGGAGCTTATAGCAAATGGGTAAAATGAAAAACTCCTTCAATTAGGCTGGGAGGATTTCCGAAGTTTCACTGGGTATTTCACAAATCGGAAGAGAGACTTCTAATTGGATTTCGGAGAAGTTTGTCCTAAACTATTAACACCACGGTGTAGGTGGTACATGGCGAAGATGGTAAGGGAAAGATGAAGATGAAGGTACAGTGACTCAAACAAATTACCACGTGTTGATTTTTTTTTTTTTTAATATTCGTAATGTATATCGAGCAATTTTTTTTTGTTATTTTTTTATAAAAAACCGTTCAAGTTTTAACTAAAACCCTAGAAACCACTTTATACAAAATTTATTATAATTCAACAAATTTTCACAAAAATTTCAACTTTTTAATCTGAATCTTTAGAACACAAAAAAAAATTTCAAAAATCAAATCAAAATTTTCCTGAAATTGTATAAACTTTTAAACGGTGAATTATATGGTTTTGGTTAAAGCTTGGACGGTATTTTTATAGAAAAATAACAAAAAAAAACTACCACGTGGTCATTTATTTGAGTTACTGTAAAAATGAAAATGAATATGAAGACGAATACTGAGATGAAGATAAAGATAAGCATAAAGATAAAGATCAAGCTAAATATAAAAGATGGACCACGGCTAATTTTATTTCAAACCGGCTAGCTCGAGCGTTTTAACCACAATCAGATTTAATTTGGACTTAAAATATATAACATAGTTTTTAGTGTAAGAAATTATATAATTTTAAGCACTGTTTTTGATTTCCAAACAAATATAAATAAGTGTATGAACAAGTATGAGCAGATATATTGTATCTATAATCATAAAAACCGAAAAATAAAACAATTCATTTCACAGAAATAGAAAAATACTGTAACCAAAACAAAAAAAAAAGTTTCAAAAATGCATTTGTCTATAACTTCTCCATAAAATATAAAGTAGCTTAAACCTGCGGAAGATGAGCTCATTTTCCTAAAAACAAAATTTACAAAGGTGACAAAATTGGGTATGTGTTTGTACATAAATGCATTGAAAATTAGAAATAAACAAAAACATATATTTTCATAGTATCATTAAATTTATTAAATTCTTAAAATTATGTATGTATGAAAAACATACATAACTACATATATGCATTAATATAAAAGAACATAAGTATATACATATAGCCGGCCCTACAAAAGCAGCTTTAGTGAGCTTACAAAGTTTGGAAAAGTGTTGCATACAATCGATAGGAATTTTTAAATGCCTAGCATAGAGATGAAAGTTTCAGTTATGTTTGCTTATCGATTGTGTGACTTCAACGGCAACTTGTTGCTCATTTTCTGGCTATAATTGGCTAACATTAAATTAATAATACATTTTAATTGTATGTATGTGTGTACTTATCGGTGTAAATTATAAAAAAAATTAACTAAACAAAATAGAAAATAAATAAAAAAAATATATTCATAGCGTGCTAAAAATAGCAAGCAATTAAGCTGAAATGAAATCAACTAAAAATGCATGTAATAAATGGCCTCAAGATTTGAATAGCGTCTGCAAACAAAAATAAGTTAAATATATTTATACACATAATAATATATAAATATGTACTTACATACATACTTGCATAATTATACATCAAATATATTTATACAAGAAAAAATGAAAATAAATTCATTGTGTATATACTGCTAAATAATGTCATAAAACACATGCATATTTTAATTTAATTAAAAAAAGTATACATTTAATATGAATGCACATTTTTTATTTTAATTTTCAAAATTAAAAAAAAAAATTAAAATTATTTTATAATATTAATAATATTATGTTCAAACTTTACATTTAATTGATGCAATTAAGTTTTAAATTAAGTTACCGACGTTGGTGTTAGCACACGCTCACTTTAGTTACCATAATTAAAATTTGACAACTTAAAATGTTGATGTTGATTTTATTCGTGAAAATTTGTGTTTGTAAATATGGAAACATTGGCTGAAATTTAGCTTAAAAAAAAAATTAACTTGGCATGCCAAGCGCCACAGAATTGTCAAAAATCCTCATGCCCTTATAACCTTTATGAATTTTTGGCAGAGCGTTACGTGTTGAATTCGTGTGCGGAAAACAGAAAGAAAGATGGTTAACAAAAAAGTAGAAGAATAGAGGAAAATAAAAACAATAGGAAATGAGAAAGCGTTTATTTGGGTAAAACGCGTGATGGCACTAGAAAACGG